AATAACGACAACAACGACCGTATCTGTCTGTAAGTGTTAGTGACACCAGAGGTAAACCGACACGTTCAGTCCCGGTTATATATTGTTTTCTTGTTGTTGGAAACCTTCTTTACAGCCTTAAAACTGTTTTCGGCGCGTTTGATTTGTCAAATTCGACAATCACACATCAGACGGACTCCATGTTTTCCTGAATTAAATCGAAATTGAAAGTTAAATTGTCCCTCCTCTGCATGAGCAGCGAACCAGTCTTAGCCTGTACATATTTCAAACGCACATTTAGTCTCAGTGAAGTTCTCTTTAACTGCACTTTGTGATGGGATATCATCAAATACTCTTCATACAATATATGCACTATAAGTCTTAAAGCCTTAAAATGATATGGAGCAACAACAGTAAATTACTGAACACATCACAAATCCTTTGATATGTTTTGAAGCAATGAACTCAAATAAAGAAATAAGAACAATTAGATTTTGGAAATGTATATGTTTATTTTATTTTCACACATAAAATACCTACACATAACACACAAAAGGCTAAAAGAAACCTTATGTTATAATGGACATTATTATGTTTTTGACTGTGGAATGATTTTATATAAACTAGCCTGCATCTTATATCATATCATAGCAACATAAACTCCACCGTTTCCAGGCAATAACTCATTTTCATGTGTCTGTGTGATTAAGTTCAAAGGGAGTCACTCGTCGTGGAACTTGGGCAACTTGTTACCAGGTACCACCACATGCTCCACCCCCGTTTCCGTGATCACCACCAGGTGAGCCACGCCCCCGCTGACGTTGTCTCTGCCCATGGCCAGAGCAAGAGCTGAGAGCAGAGAGACAGAGGGATGAAGCAAAGGGAGGGCAGAGGAGGAAGGAAGACAGACAGGGACAAAAAACAGTAGAATTATAGGTCAAGTTAAACAAGTACAGACATGCAGTGTATGACATACAACTACCAACTTACCAACAATAATTTAATTGTGTTTAAAAATGATTTTCATTTTACTCTTTTCCTTAATAGCACACAGAAGCCTTCGTCTTATGAAAGAGGTACATCCAACACTGCAGATCCAAGGATATTGAGTATGTAAGAACATAAACGTCCTCTAATCTGAACTCTTTCTTCTTAATATTAATCTAACCTCTCATTTCAGGTCATACTTGTGCCACTTAAGTTTACTCAATGAGAACTGAGCAAACTTTATATGTTGCTGAAGACCGTGAGAGGTTGTTCTCCTCGAAAACCTTCAGTTAAGATTTTTATGTCAAACTTTAATATTTTTAATTAATAAACAGATTTGTCAAACACCCCTTCATTCATATTAATACATTTTCATGGAATACAAACCCAGTTATCCCCCAAATCTTCAAACCCTGACAAAACAAATACAAACATATTAAAGTTTGGGTACAAAAGTAAAATAATACAAGAGTACCATTAGTGGCAAACTGTAGGCATTCGTCTCTGCTCATGTTGGGTTTGTATTTGGCGTCAACGTAGCCGTAGATGTAAGTGCTGCCTGAGCCACCGATGGTAACCGGCTGACTCATTAACATCCCACCTAGAGCCACAACGTACACCTGGAGAAGGATGGAGAATATCAGTATCAGCGAGGTGGACTCACTATCATCATCACTGCTTCTCTGATGTTTGACTGCCTTTGCAACCATTTCCTACCTGTGGCCCTTTCTTCCTGTCCCAGCCTGCCGTGATGAAGCCGGCCTGTAGTTCGTCTTTGTTTTTGTAACACAGTTCTTTCAGCACCGATGCTGCTGATATCACTAGAGGAGGAGACTCCATCTGGACACTATGGATCAAGAAAGTTCAAGAAAGATCAATTTTAAAGTTTGTGCTGTTGGCAAGAGAATAGACTTTGAATCTATTATGTGTGGTCTCGGATTCTCTGGATTATTTTGTGTATGTGATGAATCAATGTTGTGTTAACTGCATGTGTGAGACAGATAGAGCACATACAGGATATGGGTATTTGCATACACACAACTGTGTACGACTGTGTCCTTGCTGAGGAATAAAAGCCAGTCTGGAAATTTGGGGATTTGGGATTAATACAATTATTTAAATTTGAAAAGTGATGTGTTGTGTTGTGTAATATGTGCCAATGTATTCATATGTGTGTGTGTGTGGCACCTGTGGAAGGACAGGTGGAACTTTGCAGCCTTGGTGACGGCCTGAGCATCTGCGAGGGAGCCAGCCATGCAGCAGAAGATCTGGTCATGAACCTGAATCACCTTGTTGATGGTCTTAGATGATACATATTCTCTGAACAGAGACACAATGAGAGGATGAACGAAGCTCTCAGATAGACTACATACATACACATTTGCAGCAGGGAGAAGAGAAGTTGTTGAAGTGTTATCATTAAGTCAATAAGCTCATCATAATATAGGAATTAGGTCCCACACGTTTCCAAATCAATAATATAAATATACACCATTGAGCAAAATAATACACAACCCTCTCATTCAGGGTTTAGTCTTGTTTTAAATGTTACATATAAATAAAAATATAGAAGTAACATCAGCAAAAAGTACTCAGTAATATGTTATTGGATTGGATCAATGTGTAAGAAGCATTTTACTATTGGAAGTCGAGCTGAAGCTAATTTAAATTGCTTTATTTGGTTCAATATAAAACAATGCATTATATTTTATAAGCTCATCATATGTTGTGCATGTAAAGTCTTAATATGTTAAGTAAC